GCAGCAGTCTGGGGGAGGAGCGCTCCTGGGGAACTCCACGCTGGGGGGGCTGACACACAGCAGGGCAGAGGTAGTCACAGGGACCCATGCGGCCATGGGAAGGACAGACAGCTCTCAGCCACCCTGCAGCCCCCACAACCCCTCTATTAACTCCATTGCCCCCCTATTGCCACTGATAACCCTCAACAGCCTCCATCAACTTCCTGTTGACCTTCCCCAGTGCCCCCAACAGTCCCCCCAACTCTCTACCCTCCAATGCCCCCCTCCAGAGCTTCGCAGTGATGACCTGCATAATCCTACCACCCGCTCACAGCCCACAACCATCCCTCCACTTTGTTACCCACTCACTGTGCCCCGCTGATCTGCCTTTTACCTGACGAAGGAGACAGCCGTGGGCTTGGCGAGGACCTGGGGGGCACCCAGACCCAGCATGGGCCTGGGGGCTGCAGGCTTAGCGTGGGTGCCTGATGTTGGGTCCATGGCATCTCTGCTCTCCTTTGGCTGCAGGAGAGTTGTCACCCCTGCGCTGGCCATGGCCCTGTTGGTGCGAGTCCCTGCTGGGAGGGGTTACGTGGGATCTGGCTGCCCCCGGCACAGCAGAGGGGCTCCTGCATGTGACGCTGACCTCACAAACACTGGTTATACTGGTCACACACAGTTCCATGAGGTCACGAGAGGCTTCTGTCCCAGCCCCTCCCCTTACATACCCAAGTTTACCCTTTGGATCACTGGTTTAGTCATTTCTACCCCTAAAATAGCCACCAAAATATTTAGAATCATGGAATGTTTTGAGTTGGGAGGGATCCATAAGGGTCATCAACTCCCTGGTCATCAAGACGCCAGTCTTCCCCAGTACGAAGTGCCCTGGTGTGGTGGTTTGACTGAAATCAAGTTAATTTTCTTCATGCAGTTAGAAACTTTTCTTTCTCATAGCTAGCATGGGCATTGTTTGGGTTTAGCTGGAGAAGGAATATAGTAACTTATTGATACCTCAGCCGTTACCAGGGAAACCAAGATCTTCCTCGGCTTCCTATCTGCCAAGTGCAGGGAGCTGGGAAGGGGGGCGTAGATGGACAGACCCTGACTGACATCCAGGTTGATCAGTGTGAGCACTCCACACCATCAGCGTTATGCTTTGTATATAATTGGAGTCGGCTTTTCTGGCTCATCAGAACAGCCCCTCCCATGAGAAAAGTCCTTTTTTTTTTCTGGGCAGAACCACTCGCTTCAGTTCCATTTGTTGATTTCGTCACTTCAGCCTTTTGCTGTGCTACCGTTTTGCCATCGGCCTTTGGGCCCCCCTGCCCTTCTTGTCTCTTCGCCCTCTCTGCAGGATCAGCTGTTCTGGACCAGTGCTGTCCTCCCGGGAATGGCTGCTCAATGCGGGCGGAGTTCATGAGGGATTGCATTTTATTCTACTTATTATTATTAATAGTATATTAGTATTATTTTGTTATTTCTGTTAAACTGTTTTTATCTCAGCCCACGAGTCTTCCCTTTTGTCCGTTTCTCCTCCCCACCCCGCTGGGAGGGAAGGAGGGAGCGAGCAGCTGCCTGGTGCTTTGCTGCCGGGTTCAACCGTGACCCCTGGGTACGTGGGGCCAGTGAGGGCAGAAGACTCCAACTCAGAAAGGGCCGGAGACAGAGAAGGAAGTGCTAAAGGGTAAAGAACGAGGAAATTTTGGCAGCAGTGCCCCGTCTGCTACCCTCTCTTGGCACAGAAGTGGGATGACACAGGTAGAAGAAGCTTAATTGTCACTGGAAGCCTCTGTCAGAACTGGCTGATGGAAAAGGGCTTGACAGGCGGGAAGAGGACAGCCAGTGCGGTGCAGGAGCTCACCACGACAGCCCTCCTCTGAGCAGACCACTCCAGAGGCCCCCGGGACCTACAGCATCTCTCCTGTTACTGGAAGGCCCACAATGTCCTGTGGCCAGGTCTTGCGAGGGCAGATAAAAAGTTGAGGAAGGAGGGTCAGAGATCACCAGAACTTGGCAATAAAACTCACCAATGGCCAAAAAAACTCCCATACAAGTACCAACTTGAATAATGTGGACAAAGAAGAAAGTAAATGACAGAAAAGTGGAGGCAATGCAGAATAAAGACTCTTTTATAGAAGAGATAAAGCAGTTGCAGATCTCGCCTTGTTTGCTGAAGAAGGAAATCAGCTTTTAGCCATCAGTGGTGCTCATCGGGTTCATCTTTCAGGGGTGGCATAATTTCTCCCGTCTCTAAAATTCTGTCCCCCTGATGGAATGAGAAAGCTTGGTGAGCATTTCCTCCTACGCCCAGTCTCTCCCTTCACACAATGCAGTCTTTCAATTCAGCTGTAGCTGTCCCCACTTCCAGACAAAAAAAACCCCAACTTGCTATAACTTACTCAGCCCACTCTCAATTCACTCAACATTTTCCCAGGATGGGAAATAACATCACAGCCAAATTATCTGAAACCTGTAATTGCTTCACCCCTTTCTTTTCAGCTACAGAACAGCAGCCAAACATTTCGGGACTATCTTGTTTTCAAAATATATACTGGACTTACAGCACTGCATAACCACCTTCAACACAGCACAGCTGTGAGCGAGTCTCCAAACCCACAGCCTGCAGCCCATAAAGAGCTATGCAATCCCTCAAAAGTCAATCTGGTGCCCAGCTGCTGCTTGTTACAGCCTTGGGCGCTGTCTTGGCCTACTGAGCCCACCTAACTCAAGTGAGTAATTGGGCTGAAGTCAGAGGCCCACAGCTTGACCTTCAGTATGGTGCCATGGGGTCGTTAGGGATGGAACTTTTATTTTATTTTAGATAAAGCATCATTAGGCAGGTGTTATGTAAAAAATGGGCAACTGTCAGAAACAGCAGAGCTGAACTTCTATGAGAATGTTTGCCCAACAACTCCGTACACCAATCAACGAGTAACAGCTTGGAGCAGCCTGAAAACAGTAAAGATTAAACAATCTGAGACTCTCTGCTTCATGACACTTGTCCCAAGCTGAGGTGACACGACTCTGTCTGTCTGGGGGCGCCTGGGACCAAACTCATGCAGCCAGAACTGATACGGCGCCGAACTCCTCCCGGCTCCTGACAACAGCCGCTCCTGTCAGCGAGGAGAAGCAGAACCACTCCTCTCTGTCATTCCATGTCTTAATAGTTACGCTTTTGCAGAGGCTTTAAACACCCAAACGCCTTCACAAAGATGCTGTTACTGTGCCACAGCTAACGCTTGCATTCCCTTAAGGGAATGTTTGCGTTTTCCACCCAGCACAGGCAGTGCTGTCAGCCAGGTACTCGAACTTCTGCCGCTACAGCAGGAGGTACCTCTGAAACACGGACTGTCTGCTCTGAGGACAAGATGAAAACTGCTTCACAATACTGTAACTGTGCTGCTCCAGGGCAGCCTGCTCATGGTATCGAGCTCATCCTTCTAGAAATTCTCCTGCATGGCTACTGCACAAACCTTGCACTTCTCCCCAAGTTACCCCTCTTCTGTCTGTTTTACCAAGCTGGAAGATAAAACAAGTATTAACAGACTTACTGGGAATATCCGTGGATTTGACATAACAACACCGTGTGGCATTTTCTGAAAGGAGGGAAAGGAGAAAGGGAAAGGGTAAAGAAAAAGGAGAGTTACCCACATGAAGTACAAAAGACTTCCAAACATGGGGAACGTGACCCTTCTAAAACACAGGCTCTATGGAGTACAAGGCTCATTAAGCCGGGTTCTTTCCACCAGTTAAAGAAATGCCACAGGCCAATAAAACTACACCTCCCAAGGAAGACAAGGCTGTAGAAGTGGAAGGTCTGTCCCACTGCCACTGCACTGGCCGCTCCCCTTCCCCACACTCGCTGCTGCAGTCTGGTTATCCCCAGCGTCACCATTTCTCCAGGAACGCGACAGTTCAGACACAGCGTTCCGGTTCACAGGAGTCAGCACGGTCAAAGCCGGTCACCGCTATAAAAGACCACCAAAAGCCGTGGTCGCCGTGACCGTGGGACGTCACCTTAACCCACAGCAGAGGCTTAGCCGGGACATCCGCATAACCCCCGACGCGCCTGCTCACCCCACCAGCCCCCCTCCCTAGGGGAGCGCTTCCTCCGGGGTCTCCCCCGCTCTCCCCGACCCCCTCGGGCGCTGCACGCACCATGACGTGGTA